GGAAGACAGGAAGGAAACATTCTGGTGTTGTTTCTAGCCTAATCTTTATTGCCCTGCTTACAGAAACTACCTCTCTGGTTAACCCTTATTACGTTGTAACCGCTAAGGCGAAGCGCCCATCGACCTGAGTGACATTGAGTTGGCCACGCCCACACAGTCACATGACCACCAAGTCACACCTACCCAGTTGGTCATTAGGGCAGAGAACCGGTTGTTAAATTATTTGAATCCCACCACTGGGTGCATGCCTAATAAAAACATGCTAGGGTTTATTTTTGGGATAGGTCTTATTTCTGGGGAAACAGGGTACATATCAGGTTTAAAATATCTCCTGTTAAAATCTCTGTGCATATGGTGAATTTACATGGCAGGAAAATAGTTTCCTTCCCCCAAGAAAACATCCAGAGCCTTGATCTTGAATTGCCGTTTGCCTCTCATATACCTATTCTTCTTTTTGAGGCTAACAGAATTATGCTTTTCTCTCTTGAAGGAACCACGCGCGCACCGTACCCTCCCTCGCAGAACAGATTTACGTATTTATAGACCTTCCCCCCCAAAGCCGCATCTTCTAACCATTTCGTTGGGTGGGGGGAGTGTTTCACCCTGGCAACACGTTGAAGCTATTTTATCTAACGGTAAATGTAACTAAATGAAAATTGTTCCCTGCATTATTAGATTTTTAAGCATCAACTGCCCCTTTGATAAAGGAACCTCAAGAATCCTTTTTTCTCCCCCTCCCTTTCCTCACAGCCAAAAGGTGATCGTGCTTCCTAGAATTTGTTGAGATTGCCCAAGAAACGGGCGTAAAAAAACTCATCCATCATTGTGAGCCCCTGGTCAGGGACTTGACAGTGCAGTAAATATCTTCCACAGCAGCCTTTTAATGTACAAGCTGTTTTCGGTAGGGATTTTCACCAGTCACATAAAACACACTGTCATGAGTGACTGCCTGGGCTCCAAAGTCATTACAATTGGGATGATGGAACATCTTTCAGCGCATAACCCAAAAAAGAAAAGAAAGAAAGGGAAGGGGGGAACCCCCCCTTTTAAATGTCATGTCAAGTTTGTTGAAGCCATTTTCAAGCCTCGTTCAAGGTTACATGAATATTGAATATTCCTTTTTGTAAAAAAAAAAAAAAAAGTTTGCGATCTCAAGAGGTTCGTTAAAAAGGGAGATCACAACGGAGTGCATTTGAAGTTTGACTGAATTATTGTTTAAGGTCTCCCGCTTTAAGTTTAAAAAAAAAATCTGTAATTCTTTTTTTTTTTTTTTTTTACACTCTGTCGAGCGCATTCTGGGAACAAATAAGGGGTTAGGCAATGACATTTCTAGGACTTTCCAGCACAGGAATTTTGGAAGACAGGGCCGAACTAAACTGGGCTTCAGTCTGATCCCATAAGCCAGGGGTGTCAAACTCGATTTCATTGAGGACCGCCTTGGAGGACCGGGGTGAGCAGGGCCAGGGTGGGCGTGGCCAGCTCGACGTCACTTGTGTCGGGGGTGCCGGTGGTGTCCCGAGCACTCTGCCAGCGAAAACGGGCTCCCAAGCTCCGTTTTCGGCTGCATCAGCCTCCTGCAACCTCTGCCAGTGGACACGGAGCTCGGGAGGGTCGCCAGCAGCCCTCACAAGCTCTGTTTTCAGCTGCAACAGCCTTCTGAAACACTCTGCCAGTGGACATGGAGCTCGGGAGGGTCGCCAGCGGCCCTCACAAGCTCTGTTTTCAGCTGCAACGGCCTCCTGAAACCCTCTGCCAGTGAAAACAGAGCTTGCAAGGGCCACGGGTACCCTCCCGAGCTCCATTTTTGCTGGCAGAGGCACTGCGGGCTGGTCCTTCACTGTTTCCAGGGCAGCCCCGCGTGCCAGATCTAAGCACTCCGCAGGCCGGATCCAGCCTGCGGGCCTTCAGTTTGACACCCCTGCTCTAGAATACTTCTGGAAAAACGTTTAAGCTCCTTCAGTGCGATATCTCAGGCATTTTTATAAATTCTTTGAATGAATTGCATTTATCTCAACATAGGCAGAACCTACTGTACGTATTGTACCCATTTTCATGAATCGAGGGATATAAAAATCCGTCCTTCCCTTTGATTCCCGTCAGAAATATATTCTTTTATCTCAGCACATGTCTCAGCGCATGGAGCTCCATTTTCGCTAGTAGAGGCACCGCGGGCCAGTCCTTCGCTGTTTCTAGGTCAACCCCGCCTGCCATAAGCTGTCAGATTCTCTCATAGATCCTCTACTTACGGCCATTTTTTTTTCTTCCTAAACAAGACAGTCGTTCAGTGAATTTTGTTCCATTTTTACGGCCTTGCTCACCATGTTGGTTAAGTGAAACACTGCAGTTATTAAGGGAGTATCACATTGTTAAATGAATCTGGCTTCCTCATTGACTTTGCTTGTCACATGATCACGTAGATAACACTGCAACCGTCACAAATACGAGTCAGTTGCTAAGTGTCCGAATTTGGGTCATGTGACCGTAGGGATGCTGCAGCGGTGGTAAGTGTGAAAAATACTGTCGTGAGTCACTTATTTTCAGGGCCATTGTAACTTCAGATGGTCACTAAACGAACTGTTGTAAATCAAGGATTACCTGTATCATTTTTTTTTAACTGGCAGGAGACTGAATTATATATGAAAAGGGGGCTTTTGCCTTTTATTGAAATGATCACACTTATTTATGGACACATGTTTATAAGAAAAAATGAGTGGTGCGGTGGCCTAGATGTGGAGCTCTCGCCTCACAATCAGGAGGCTGTGAATTCGATCCTGGGTGGAGGCAGATATTTCTCTCTCTGGGCACCATGAGAATATATCTGCTGAACGTAACTCTGCATTGTCGACAGGAAGGGTATCCGGCCCGTAAACACTGATCTCAATTTAGTTTCCCAGACTCCAGCCCACAAGGGATTATGGGGTCATTAAAAGAAGAAGATAATGATGTTTATAAGAAAAATATATATCCCTATTTGGTGTAGCTTCAGTTGCAAAATAACTTTATTTGAGTTTTCAAGTTATTTTGTCTTTAGGCTGGGAAGTCCTGTTAATTGACTCATTGTCATGACTGTAAACTTCAGGAGGCTCTCCTCACAGTCACTCATGCCCTTGTCACCTCACGGTTAGAATATAGTTGATCCAGAATGCAGCCGCGCGAGCTGTTGTGGGTGCACCTAGATACACCCACATTACACCAATTCTCCGCGAGCTGCACTGGCTCCCTATTGGTCTCCGGGCACAATTCAAGGTGTTGGTTATTACCTTTAAAGCCCTACATGGCTCAGGGCCAGGCTATCTTCGAGACCGCCTTCTACCACATAGCTCCCAGCGGCCGGTAAGATCCCACAGAGTTGGTCTCCTCTGGGTCCCGTCAGCTAAACAATGCCGGCTGGTGGGCCCGTGGGGGAGGGCCTTCTCTGTGGCTGCCCCAGCTCTCTGGAACCAGTTACCTCCTGAGATCCGGACCATCCCCACCCTATTGGCCTTCTGGAAAGCGGTGAAGATCTGGCTTTTCCGGCAGGCCGTTCTGGGGCCGTTGATCTCGCTACGGTGATCTTGCGAGATCCGGCCATGAATGGTGTGCATTGGCTTTTAATGTTTTTTAAAATGTTTTTCTAATGTTTTTAATAATTTTCCTATGTTTGTTGTATTTTTTTTATTTATTTTTTGCTGTAAGCCACCCAGAGTCCCTTGGAGTTGGGCAGCATAGAAATGCGATAAATTAAATTAAATTAAACTTATTTTGGGGTAGGGTAGGGTAGGATAGAGAGTATTGGAATGAAGGATGTGATAAGATAGAGTAGGATAGGATAGGATAGGATAGGATAGGATAGGATAGGATAGGATAGGATAGGATAGGGAATATTGGAATGGAATGGAATAGAATAGAAGGATAGGATAGGATAGGATAGGATAGGATAGGATAGGATAGGATAGGATAGGATAGGGAATATTGGAATGAAGAATGGAACAGAACAGAAGAGAATAGAGAGCATTGGAATGAAGGATAGGATAGGATAGAACAGAATTTTATTGTCACTTTAAATGTACACTAATCAGCATACTTTAAAATGAAATTTCACTGCAGTCAGCTCTCAAAAAGATAACCATTATGCATATACCCACACACATATGACACAGGGAAACATCACAATCTAGTTTGAACGTATACATACCTAGAAAACCTCTCTCCATAGAAGGAAGGAAGGAAGGAAAAGTAATATGAAAGAAAGAAAGTAAGTAAGTAAGTTGAGGGAAATTATATAAAACAAGAAAAATTGTAACGGTTTCTCTAGGGTTTCTGCAGAATTTAAACGAGCGACCTTCTCTAGGCTAAGCAAAGATCTCAACCATTGTGTTAAAAGAGCCTTGATAGTACAGTGGTCTACGCACCCTGTTATTAACACAGCTGCCTGCAATTACTGCTGGTTCGAATCTCTCCAAGGCTCAAGGTTGACTCAGCCTTCCATCCTTTCTAAGGTAGGTGAAATGAGGACCCAGTTTGTGGGGGCAATAAGCTGACTTTGTATAAATATACAAAAGGATGAAGGCTATTGCTTAACGCATTGTAAGCCACTCTGAGTCTCCGGAGAAGGGCGGCATATAAATCAAATTAAAAAAAAAAAAAATTAGCAATGCTGGTAAAATCAGCCATTGACACTCTCAGAGTGCTTGATAATTATTGAACGCTTGGTGACCAATGAACGGCTGAGGTAAACCTGTAAGTAACTGAAGCATTGTAACCCCCGATTAACATGAGCAGCCAAGGTAATATATCAGGACTAAGTGTACTTCAAAAATCAAACAGAGATCTGTACTCTGAGGTTGCTTTGAAGGGTAGTGGAGCTCAGGAGAAGGTGGGAACGTCCATTTCTCCCCTCAAAAAAGAGTTGGTGGTAAAGAGTAAAGATAAGCTCTACCAATATTGTAAATGGGTCAATCTGTGTTATGCACCTCACTGTAGTGTACAGCAAAAAATTGGTTTGTTTTCTTCTCATACAGAAAACCAGAAAGCACCAACAGGAGAGAAGTTGCATCCCCACCACAATATGAACGGAACTTCGGTAAGGAACCTCGCAAACAAGGACATTCATCGTGAAAACGAAGCTAAATCATCGGTCGAAAAGAGAAACTCTGTTGGAAAAAAGAAAGTCCCTTGTGGAGGATCCAACAGAAAGGAAGAAGTAGAACTTGGCGGTTCTAAAGGAGAAGTGATTCCTGAAGTGGAAGCTTTGCTCGCGCGATTACGAGCACTCTGAACGTTTTAACCAGTTGCATAAAATTTTGGACTCATTTAGACGTTCAGGAAAATACTTGGTTACATTATTCATAAGATTGCAGCAGTTCAGAACGATGCTTCACATCATAAATACCTGCAAGTAGCTATTAGCATATTGCTAACATTTCAGGGAGAAATATTCCTTATTTAAAACTCCCAGTCTCCACTGCTTTTCTGACATGACACACCACTTGGTAAAATATATATTTAAAAATCTTTTTAATTGCTATCACAAATAATGTTTTACATATTTTAAAGTGTATATATATATATATATATATATATATATATATATATATATATATATACATTTTGCATGCTGCTGCATATTTGTCATTGCATTTTGAAGTGCACATTCATAAATACTTTGGGTCCGAATTAAAATTGTATTACTATAATATATGGGCTTAATATTTTGCAACTGGTTGGGAGGCAATTAAAACAATGAAAACGGACTTTTTTCTATTGCTCACCTTTAACAACTGACATGCCTTTTCACATAAACTATGGGTTGAATGTTAAAAAAATGCAAATCAAGCTATATATGTTTACAGTTTTGTTACTAGCTCTCTGGAATGTGCAATACAATATATATCTTATTATAAAGTTTTATAAATGTTTTGGAGTGTTTGGTGGGTGGCTGCATGGACTATAGATTATATGCATATATAAAATGTATTGTTATTTCCATAATAAATCTGACATTTATATTTAACCTATAGCTGCTATTCAAATTGAAGCTCACAGCACAAATCTAAGAACCAAAGCAATTTTGTTGGTTATTTTCACATAGCCAAACCTTAAATTTTACCATTTTTGGATTCAGGAAAACACATATACTTTTTGCTCTGTGAAAAGTTTTGTTGGATTTATCCACAAACTTTTACATTATGAATTATTATTATCATTATTATTATTATTATTATTATTATTGGAATAATTTGTGGTGATTAGAATGCAGTATTCCAGGCTGACCCTGCCCCATCCTGACCAGAGGTGGTATTCAGCAAGTTTTGACCAGTTCTGGAGAACTGGTAGCGGAAATTTTGAGTAGTTCAAAATTACCGGAGAACCGGTAAATACCACCTCTGACTGGCCCCGCCCCCATCTATTCTCTGCCTCCCGAGTCCCGAGCTGATCAGGAGGAAATGGGGATTTTGCAGTAACCTTCCCCTGGAATGGAGAGGGTATGGAGATTTTACAGTATCCTTCCCCTGCCACACCCACAGAACCGGTAGTAAAAAAAAAAATTAATCCCACCACTGATCCTGACTAACTCAAGGTTGACTCAGCCTTCCATCCTTTCAAGATCGGTAAAATGAGGATTGAGATTGTTGGGGTCAATAGGCTGACTCTATAAACTGCTTAGAGAGGACTGTGAAGCGGTATATAAGTCTAAGCACTAATGCTTATACTTTAATTCATTTGTTCATTGCTCAACTATCTATAAATATGGCTAATCATATTGTAAAAGTGTGCACTGTGCTGCAAGTTATTTGGTGACACTACTGTTTGGCGAAGGAAAGAGTAATCTTCAAAATATTGTACTGAAGGCACTATTAAAGCTTTATACTTTGCCCTATTTGTTTCTAAACAAATAAAATAATGCTGAACACATTTTATTTAAATGTATTTATATGCCATGCTCACTCATTACTATATTTCTTGTTTGTTTAAAAACAGAGACTTTTTGAACAAGCCTGTTTGCAAATATCAAACTTTATTGCTTACGTATGTGTAAAATCTACCCTTCTGGCCTATTTTGTTCAGAATTCCCAAGAATCTACTAAAATCATCACGGTCAGAAGGAAAAACTGAACGTTCTGGAAACGTCCAGAATATTTGTTCCTAAAACAAAATTATACTGTACTTTTCGGAGTATAAGACACATTCCACCACCACCACCCAAAAGAGGTTGGAAATGTTGGTGCATCTTATAAACCGAATTAAGCCATTTTTGGCCTCCCGAAACTCCGTCCCGCACGCCCCATTTTTGCTGAAAACAGGCCTGGTTTTTGCAAAAATGGGGCACGCCGAAGGTTTGGGAGGCCTGCAGAGTGCTCCTGGGGGCTGGGGACAGCAAAAACGTGGTGCGTGGGGAGGATTTGGGAGGCCAAAAAATGGGCCCGTTTTTCACCTCCCAAACCCCCACACATTGCATTTTTGCTCTCCCCAGCCCCCAGGAGCAATCTGCAGCCCTGTTTTTCATAAAAATGGGATGTACAGAGGGTTTGGGAGGCCTGCAGAGTGCTCCTGGGGACTGGGGAGGGCAAAAACTTTTTTTCTTGTTTTCCTCGTCAAAATCTTGGTGCGTCTTATACTCCGGTATGCCTTATAGTCCAAAAAATATGGTATATCCTTTCTGCTGGGGTATTCTATACTAAAAGTTTGTTCGTATCGATCAGTGTATTGCTGGCTGGGGAATTCTGGGAGTTAATTTTGAAGAACATTGATAGAAGTTCCCTTCTTTTGGTACTGATAGAACTCTAATAGAAATAAATGACCATGTGCCACCATAATGAGAGTTTCCCTCTATACTGTAAACCGCATGAAATAAGGCAGTGAAATAATGATGTTCCATCATGGAACGGCATTAGAAGAACGCTTGCAAAGATGGAGAGATATTCAGAGGTCACTCATCTCTGTTACAGGCTGGGTACCGCAAAACTGCCTTCAAGTCAAAGTCCAATTTTGATGGCTTCACAGCCAATTACAAGCAGCCGATTAACCCTACTTTCAGGGTTAAGGTCAGTTTGGCAGATTGAATCTCACCAAGCTCAAGGTTGACTCAGCCTTCCATCCTTCCGAGGTGGGTAAAATAAGGACCCAAATTATTGGGGGCAATACGCTGGCTCTGTAAACCGCTAGAGAGGGCCGGAAAACACTGTGAAGCGGTATATAAGGCTAAGTGCTATTGCTATTTCTTCTGGGAAGTGAACTATTTTTCTTTCTGTCTCCAGCAGTTAGCCAAGCTGTAGTAGAGTAGAAACCTGCCAACTTTTAGGAATATAGGTTTGTTTACAATTTACATTCTCCCAAATTAGATTGCATCCTGCTCTTTTTTTGTTGCCTTTGAACGTCAAGGAAGTTTTGCTCATTCCACCTACTCAAAAAATTGACTTTCAATAAGATAACTTTATTGTCATTTTTTTTACACACTAGCCCGCATTAAAAATGAAATTCTGTTGCCTGCTCTCAAGAGAAAATGTGTATCTACCCAAACACATACATAGCACACATACACATGCTATATACATACATAAATAAGATAACATACACAAACACACAAATCATCCATACATCCATCCATCTATCTATCTTATCTTTCTATCTCACTGTCACACCTATGGTTTTCCATGAATGTTTTCTGGAACAGACAAAGATATAAAATACCTGGATATATGTATGAATTCTTTCCCACTAGGGTCTAGATCGATCATCAATCATTCTGTATAGAAAACCTCAATTTATTAGACTACGCAAAATTTTCTTTTCATATTAAACTGAAACGCTTACGAGAAAATTTATAGCAAGCAACATCCACAATTCGTGTTCCCGTTACATTTTTTTATTTGGCAATTCCGACTGTAGCAAGTTGAGTTGTTTTATGTGATTTCTCAGGAGCACGGAAGACCATTATAGACTTCTGGATTTTAAAAAGGAGAGATGGCCAGTCCTTAATATTGGACTGGTTCTTCCCTTTTTTACAGTTCTTCTGACTTCTTCTGATTAAATCAGATTTCCTTGTTAGAACCATCTCTTCAAAGGATCTCTTCCTTCCTCTGAAGTAGTGAATCCATTTTGTTCTCCGAATCATTCTGAGGTTTGACATCAAATCTCACCCTGGTCAACTTAGATTCGAGCAACAAATAGAATAGAACAGAACAGAACAGAACAGAATAGAATTAATAGACTAGACTAGACTAGACTAGACTAGACTAGACTAGACTAGAATAGAATAGAATAGAATAGAATAGAATAACAATAGAATTAGAATAGAACAAATCAGAATAGAATAGAATAGAACAGATCAGAATAGAATAGAATAGAATAGAATAGAATAGAATAGAATGAAAATAGAATTAGAATAGAACAGAAGAGAATAGAATTAGAATAGAATTAGAATAGAACAGAACAGATCAGAATAGATCAGAATAGAATTAGAATAGAACAGAACAGATCAGAATAGAATAGAACAGAACAATTAGAATAGAACAGATCAGAATAGAATAGAATAGAATAGAATAGAATAGAATAGAATAGAATAGAATAGAATAACAGAGTTGGAAGGGACCTTGGAGGTCTAGTCCAACCCCCTGCTTAGGCAGGAAACCCTACACTACTTCAGACAAATGGTTATCCAACCTCTTCTTAAAAACTTCCAGTATTGGAGCATCCACAACTTCTGAAGGCAAATTGTTCCACTGATTAATTGTAACTGTCAGGAAATTTCTCCTTAGTTCTAAGTTGCTTTTCTCCTTGATTAGTTTCCACCCGTTGCTTCTTGTCCTGTTCTCAGGTGCTTTGGAGAATAGCTTGACTCCCTCTTCTTTGTGGCAGCCTCTGAGATATTTGAAGATTGCTATCATGTCTCCCGTAGTCCTTCTTTTCATTAAACTAGACATACCCAGTTCCTGCAACCGTTCTTCATATGTTTTAGTCTCCAGTCCCCTAATCCTCTTTGTTGCTCTTCTCTGCACTCTTTCTAGAGTCTCCACATCTTTTTTATATCGTGCCGACCAAAACTGGATGCAGTATTCCAAGTGTAGCCTTTCCAAGGCCTTGTAAAGTGGTATTAACACTTCATGTGAGCTTGATTCTATCTCTCTGTTTTTGCAGCCTAGAACTGTGTTGGCTTTTTTGGCAGCTGCTGCACACAGCTGTCTTATATTTAAGTGATTGTCCACTAGGAGTCCAAGATCCCTCTCACAGTTACTGCTATTGAGCAAGGTACCACATATACTGTACCTGTGCAATGAAGGCTTCTCTTACCTAACAGATCTGAACAAGGGACATTGATAGTTATCACATGTATGGGAAATAAAAAAAAAAACATGTTTGGCATGGCATTTACACAATTTACCAAATGTATTAATTTTCCTTTATCACAATTCAGATAAAAATAATCACGTTTTAAAGGCATTTCTTTAACAATGTCATTTTCATAAGCCACAGTTTTAAATGAAATCCGTTAATTTACTTCAATTAAAATGGGCATTTCATTTTGTTAAATCATTCGCAGAGTTCATGGAAAACTTCAATCCTTTGACCTCTGACTCCAAGATGCCATTTTTTCTCCCACTGTTAAAGAAAGTTAAAGTTGCAAACTAGATGGGCATTCTATTGAGCTTCATAATGGTAGAATTCATTCATTTCTCTTTTTTTTTTCCTCTTCTAATGTACTATTTATTTTTCTGACAGTTTCTAAAACAAGAATTCCCAAACTGGCATCTTTCAGATGTATTCAGTGAATTTTTATATACTTTCTAAAAAAAAAACTAGGAAAGCCATTTCATCAACCGAATTATTCGTTCATTCATTTAGTCAGCTTTTGGGGATAAAATATGAAGTTATCTGAAAAACTAATTTTCTTATTTTGGATCAGGAGATATACAAGATAGCAAAGAAGGATAGTTATCTGAGATTGGGAAGGTAAGGTAATAGTGCTAAATGTGTTGTTTGATTTCACTGGAGGGACCTGAAATTGCATTTTGTGCAAAACAAAGCAGCTGAAGCTAAATTTCTCTCAAGGTCACGATGGAAATAATGCTTGATGATCCAGACTTCTGTAGTCAAATATACATGTTAGAAGGCCTGTTCCCTCACCTTATTAAATAGCTGTCGGAATGAAGGAAAGAACACAACTATAACTCTTACCAAACTTAACGAAACTTTAAAGTAGTTCAAAATGATTTTAAAAGGGCAAAAAGAATGTGGTCCAGAAGGAAAACTATAGTTTATTTCAATACAATGGACATAAAAATGTTTAAGGAGGCTCAGTATCTGATGCTTGCTTTAGACAGCTAATAAACGGTCTGTTTTTCAAAATGGACTGTAGAAGAGACTAGACAATAGACATAACTCAGGATAATCCTAATTTAAATTTCTTGACAGTTAGAAATCAGAGGAACGAGTTGCTTCCAGAAGTTGTGAGTGCTCCAACACTGGAAGTTTTTAAGATGAGATTAGACAACCATTTGTCTGAAATGGTATAGGGCAGTGATGGCTAACCTTTTTGCCATCGCGTGCCAGGAGGGGGGGGGCGGGGGAGGTTCCCATGTGTACGTGCCCACACCCATAATTCTATGCGCCCTGCCCTGTGCATGTGCGCACAACCCCCCCAGCTCCTGCTCCTGGCACGTGATGGCCCGGTAGGCCCATTTTTCTTTCTCACCTGGCTCCAGATCCTCTCTATGCATCTGGGGAGGGCGAAAACAGCCTTCCCCACTCCCTCAGAGGTCTTCCAGAGGCCTGAAATGGCTCATTTCCCAGCTCCTGGTGGGACAGGAAGTGACGTTTTTGCTGTCCCCAGCCTCCAGAGCCTCTCTCTCTCTCAGAGCTGAGGTGGCATGCCCACTGATATGGCTACATGTGCCACCTGTGGCACGCGTGCCATA